CCCCAACGAAATGGATCAGGCAGGTGGAATCATTGATGGCATCAAGTGTGGTAGTGGTATTGAAGTTGGCCCAGGATCGGACATTGTTTCATTCTGCTGTGCATGGGGTCACTATGAGTCAGTTTTGACTCGATGGCACCTGACAACAACAACTATATATATATATAATCATAATAGAAAAATTATGCTACATAAGACATCTTTAAATTGTCAGAGTAAAGATACCAGTTTGAGGATTAAAGTGCACCTGATTCAATTATTGTCTTTTCAGTCACCTCATAGGCATATAAAATTTAGGCAAAGAATAAGGAAGATCATAGAAGATTTGATGCATTTGAACTATGCATCATGCATCATGATGAAGAAGAATATTAAAAGTATCATGGATTGCCAAAAGAAAAAAAAAATCTGTGTTTAAGAAGTATACAATGCTCCTTAGTAGGCAATATGGTGAGACTTCATATGTCATACTTCGGGCATGTTATTAGGAAGGATAAATCCCTGGAGAAGTGCATCATGCTTAGTGAAATAGATGGTCAGAAAAAAAGAGAAAGTCCCCCAATATGATGGATTGACACAATTTTAGCAGCAATGGACTCATGTAACAATTGTGCGTATGGAGCAGGACTAGGCAGTGCTTCAATCTGTTTTACATAATAGGGTTGCTATTAGTTGGAAATCACTCAAGTATACCTAATAACAAAATATGACCTATAAAATGAATTAAACTAACAGATGACTCTCAGAGATATTATTCTGTGTGCAAAACCCACTTTCACTGCCATTAAGTTAATTGTTACTCATAGCTACCCTATGTAGGGTTTCTAAAAATGTAAATCTTTACAGGAGCAGAAATCCTTTTTCTCTTGTGGAGTGACTGGTGGATTCAACTGCTAACCTTTCTGTCAGAATTCCAACCGACTATATCACAAGGGCTCCCTTACTCACAAATATTTAGTGTGAGTTAATTTTTAAGAAATTCTGGAACAGGCAAAACATTGATAAAATCCAGAGCATTGTTACTTGAATTAGACATTAGACTATGTGTGGGGAGTGGGTTGGGAGTAGTGGATTACAAAACGAGACACGAATTCTCTGGATAGTTGGTAGCTCTCTATATCTCTCTTCAAGTGGTACTTATATGAATATATGTAAGTAGATATGTATGTAGTGTCAAAAATTATCCACCTGCACACAGATTTTTAAAGAAAGTGTTTGGGTGGTTGATGGCAACACATTATTATATTTTATGGAGACACACCAAGTTAAATTATGTTCCTCTGACTTGGTTAACTTTTTCTATTGTATAATTCAAAGACAAAAAAATAAGCCAATTTGCAAACACTTAGGGACTATTATGAGCTAAAAAAAAATGCTACCAATAAAATCCATCTTTACTTGGCATATCACTTAAATGTAAGAATGTGCTTCAAATAACACTTTGTTCACTCAAAATATTTGAAACCTGACAGCAAATAATATCTGAAAATGTGCACATATGTCTTTTCAAACCTCATAGAACATTAATTATCAAGGCTTAGATCTATTTTAGAGTTAACAGCTATTTCATTATTTTTGAATTTGAAACTATGATGAAATACTCCTTAAAAAAATATTTCTGTTTT